TGGTCCCCAACCTTTCTGGCTTTTCTGACTAGGGGGATGGGGATGGTTCCTACAAGCAGTGGGTGAGTGCAGGGGTGGGTTTCTACCGGTTCTGTCCACCTCTGTAGAACCGGTAGCTCTGAAGAGCAGCAGACATAGAACCGGTTCTATGTCTGCTGATGTTTTTGCCCACCCGCCCACCTGGGCTCTTACCTGACCTTTATTTCCTGATTTTTCAACTTCAGCTGCTGTGCAAGGCACAGCTGCAGTTAAAAAAGCAGGAAAAGAGGACTGTTTCAAAGGCTGCTTCTCTGCACGCAGCGTGCTGATGACGATTTACAGGTGCGCACGCTCAGAGTGCAGGGCAGCACAGCATAAATCACCAAACCTCGTAAATTACCGAACCAATAGTTAACCTTGTCGTATCCCACCCCTGGGTGAGTGGTACATGCAGCTCCATTTGTGTGAGGAGCAGGCAGACACTCCTACTGCTCATACAAATGGAACTTGCCTGCCATTCCCATAGCCCAGTTCCAAACAGGCCATGGCCGGTACTGGACCAGAGCCCAGCGGTTGGAGACCGTTGAAGAAGATTGCAATAAATGAGCCAAATTGACTGATGTTGTGATAAAGCAATTGAAGGCAACTTGGAGATATGGATTAAGAATCCTGAATGGTGGCATCTGTTTCTGAAGAATTATATTGTCATCACTGTAAATTGTAGAGAACATTGTTTCAATTTTAGTGGGAATGGGATAATCTTTCAAAGTTTTGGAAGAAAATTTTTAATCATATAACTAATAGAATATTAACTTGTCTCCAAAGTTAGGTTTACTATGTATATTTGATAGTTAAATAAAAGTAGCAAATTAAAACAAAAGCAGCAGACAAATAAAATAACAGCTAATAATAGAAATATCCAGATAATGTATCAAGGATAGAAGATATGATAAGATTTAGGCTACAGTGCTGCTTGAAGATTTTTCTGATGAAATTCATTGTTTGTCATTGCGAAGAACAAACCATTATTCTACGAGGAATGGTAGAAGAAATAAGCATAATTGAAACACTCTGTTTCAGAAATTGTTAAAAATCAGGAGGTATGTACCATCCTTTTGTGAAAACTCAGTAAATACATCCTTTGGTTATTCAAAGTACAAACAGCTTATGTAATAGCAGGTTTTTTATATATTTGTGGTTATTATTTAAGTGAGGTCTGTGTTAAAGTATATCAAAATACATTATAAAAATAGTGTTAGCTTACAACACAAGAGAAGATTAACATGCCAAACAATTGAGAATTATTCTCAAATTAAGGAGTAAGATGCACATAATTTAAAAAGGGAAACATTAAATCCAATCTATCATAAATGAGGGAGACAATCTGTTCAATGCAGATAATCTAGCAACTACCAAAAAGGTCTTGTTAAGTTGTGTTAAGTGATGAGATGTATCACAATTACAAATTACAGGACAGTTTCATATGAAAGGACACATCATGGCTACAGTGACCATTAATGTCTTTATAAATTTAAAATCAGTAAGTATGAAATGAGATGTGGAGCCAGGTGAAGACACGAGTAAAGTTGATCCAATGTTGATCCAATGTGATCTATAAAACAATTTGCTGACAAATATTTTTTGCATTATATTTGTGGGACAGTGGTCTATGCTAATTCTTTACAATAAGGTAAATAAATCAGGATATGGTAATTCATAACCTGTCTTCTTAAAAACAGTGAAGCTGGACTTCTAAGGGGGGAATGATGAATTGAAGTGCCAACAACAGCAGCAAAGACCAAGGAACTGATGAGTAGACCAGTTTCTGGAAACGTCTCTGGATAGGAAAGAACAGTAGATTGCCCACAGGTGCTATGGATTGCATTTCCTTGTGAGAAGACTACAAGACAGTGCTTTTCTATGGATTTGATGGCTGGGACATAAAGGGATTACCCATCTTGTTTGAAATCATAGTGGGGCTTTTTAAAGGTCACAAAGTTTGCAACCTCGCTTCTAATCATCTTTGAAAATTGCAACAGTTTTCAAATCTGATAAAGACATTTAGAATGACAAGTTTGAAAAGTCTTCATTGGGAGAATTTCACTTCAGCTCTGAACAAAAGAAAAAAATAGTTGCAAGCTTAGAAACATATGCAATCTGAGATAAAGAGCAAAAAACTGAATAAGATTTTGATCTTAGAAAATTATAAATAGACCAAAGTATAAATTTTGAGTGCTGAATTTTTTTCAACAAGATTTTGGAATTATTTATGAAGAACAAACAGTTTTTCATGAGAAATACATGTGTTTTTATTATATTCTTTCTAAGACTGAGCTGAGGCAGGCATTGAAGAACAATGTTTATTGTAACAAAGAAATAGGTGATATGTTGCTGATGTTGCTGAATCAGCCAGCTGACACGTAACAGCTGATGCTGGCTGACAGCTCCCTTTTATAGTTCACTGTCAGGCTGCTCAGCCAATCAGAACATACAAAACTCCTGCTCAAAATGCGGAACAACAAATAGAACTTCTGTAGAACACAATAGTTTTAGTTTTTGGAAGACAGAAATATGTAATTTCATGATTTAAAAACTGGATATTAGATGTTATCAAAGAAATGATAGCTGTAGAACAAATTTTATCTGACTAGAGAGAAATACAAATTATAAACCAAGTGAGTGACTGGGACAATTTATTTCTTATTGGATTTACAAAAGAGGCATATTGAAACCTAGAAGAATTCTGTATGATGGGACAAAAAATGAAGAAATATCAAATCTTTCAACAATAATAAAGGTAGGATACAAATAGATAAAATATTTGAATTGGCTAAAGATGAAGACTTTTAGAAATATAAGGAAGGAATATAAAGTTGTTTTATTTGATCAAGATTAAAATATATTGTTATCTCTGGAAACTCTTTATGGACTTAAAAGATAATGCTTTATGGATTTGTCTATAGATAAGGAATAGGATATAGGTTGAAGAGTTAATTGTTTGTAAACTAAGAGGGATACTAAATTTGTGACAAAGGTTGGAAGTCATTTTTTATATTTTTTTTCTTTATTATAGAAATATTAATTTCTTCTCTCATTTCATTGCACCTTTTATTATTTCTTTCTCTTTCTAATTTTTGTTTGTATTACATTACTATTATAACCAACATACTAAAATTATACATCAAGAAAAGCAGAGGAAATAATGCTGAATGACACATTTTTAACTTGTTGGCACAGTGATTCAAAAGCAACACAGGATTGTGTTCATGAAGAGGTGGTCTATTATTAAAAATTGGGTGGAAATAAATATGTGTGCTGGGAGAATTCAGTTCTTGTCTTCATTTTATGGCTAAATCAGTGATTTGCTGGGCAATGATAAATCTTATGAGAGAGGAAAGAATGCTGAACAAATTGGTGTTCAAAGCAGGTAATATCCCTTTAACCAACTCACACTTTCTGTTGCAAGTGCCAATTCATTATGGCAAAATAATTGCTTTGTAGTAAGCAGTGAAGAGTTGCTCATTAGAAAATATTGCACAGACACAATTTCTTTAGCTCAAGCTGCTATTGGCCTGATAGTTAGAATCTGCTTTTAGGAAGCTTCTGTGAATGTGTTAACTATGGCTTGAGGCAGCTGTGCAGTTCACTGAGCACTAAAGCTATAAATGTTAGCTTAATGCACAGCTAATGATAATGACTACAGTAGTGCATCATAGTAATTTACAAATACATTGAGTTTTTTTTATGGTGCTTGCTTCAAGGCTGTTGAAGAGAATCACCTAAACTGCACCTTGAATAATCTAATTAAAATAAGTGTATTTTTACTCCCTGCAGATTCGTTACAATCCCACAATTACTGGATAGATAGTTTTGTTATCATCAGTTTAAGAGAATCTGCCATTCCCTATAATAAAGTGATCTTGCAGGGATAAAAGTGCGTGCTGCATTAACATGACTCAGTAACTCTCTAATGTTGTAAGCTTGAGATACAAAATCTTTTTCTTATCACCTGAATTTTGAGATGACCTCTAAAGAAGAAGGTTAGGAAAGAAAATGGAAGTTCACTTTCACTTACTCATTAACTCAGGGTTAATCAGATACTTAAATGTTCATATTATTTAAAAAAATGAATTTGGAATATGGTTAGAATAAACTGATTTTAAAATAACAATATGTTGCCTGGTTGTCATGTCAAATTAAGAGACCAACACTCATTTCTGAAGGACAGAAACAAACAGCAACCAATCCTGTTAATTCCATACTTAATATCAAAGTCACTCATGGTGCATTTTTATGTTCCACTTTCCAGTTTTCCATGTTATGTTGCCTAGAGACTTCTGTTTCTTTGGGGTAGCTTGCTTCAGTTTGTTCAGGATAACCTCAAAAATTCATTAGCTATTTTACAGAGGCAAGAAGGTCCCTTCCATTGAGTCAAATCTTACATGGTTCAATGATCATGTAAATAAAAATTAAATCAGCTACCTCACCCAAATTCCTCACCATGACTAGAAATACTAACAAAAGATATTTTCTCAAATTTAAATAACATAACAGTTGTGTTGTTTAAAAATGTAGTAAAAATGTGGTGAACTCAGAGGAGTATAATATGAACATCTCCCATCTAATTTGATGTCTCCTATCTCTTATCTATACTTTCCTTGTCTTTACTGCAGTGTTGTTTTGACTTAGGGTAAACTTGAGAACTTACTCCCGATTTGCCTGTAATACAGGTAGTCCTTGATTTATGATCATAACTGAGCCCAACATTTCTGTTGCTAAGTGAAAAATTTGTTAAGTAAATTTTCCCCATTTTACAACCTTTGCCATGGTTGCTAGGTGAATTACTGCAGTTGCAGTTGTTAAATTAGTAACACAGTGGTTAAGTGAATCTGGCTTCCCCATTGATTTGGCTTGTAAGAAGATTGCAGAAGGTGATCACATGACTCCTGGACACTGCAGCTGTCAGAAATACGAGTCAGCTGCCAAGCTTCCCAATTTTGATCACATGACCACGGGGATACCACAACGGTCATACATGTGAAAAATGGTCATAAGTCTCCATTTTCAGTGCCATTGTGACTTTGAGCAGTCACTAAATGAACTGTTGTAAGTCAAGGACTACCTGTACAAAAGTGAAGACAAAGTCCAGATTTTAGTTAGAAAAATCTATATGAGTGTTCTACGTTAACAGAAACGAAGGCAAGATACTGGCTTAGTTTGACCAAGATGACTATCAAGATTCCACCAATCAACAGCATACTTGGCCAGGCGAAAGCAATGAGAAGACCTTCTGGGGGATACAATCTCTTCAAAAGGACGCTCTTTTCTTTTCTTGATGGGTCATAATGGCAAAGAAACCACTGGTGCTTTCTGAAATTGTCTCTTATCTCTTCTACTTTCTGTTGAACTTGTTTATAATTCTCCATATCAGGGGGGATATAAGAGCACTGCAGAAAAAAGAAAGAAAACTCAGGGTACTGCTTTTCACAATTATTGACTGAAGGTAAAACAGTAATTTAGGGGTACTTTTAAACAGGGCTGCCTTAATATTGTTTTTCTGTACTGTAGCTGTTGTGAACAAATTATGAATATATGTATCCTATCGCGGCTTTTGTAGGGGAATCCATGAGCTTTTCAAAGCTATCCTTTGTTTATTAATTAACCAGGGTTTTTCAGGGTCAGAGGGAGATCATAACTCAGCCTATTCTTACAAACAATTAAGGAATCAAAAGTTTTTTCTCTGCTGTGATTGGAACTAAAGAAACTATTTGTTCTACAGGTATAGTGTAGAATTGCAAGAAAAATATTGCAAGGAAAAAACTAATAGTTTTCCTTCCTTCCTTCCTTCCTTCCTTCCTTCCTTCCTTCCTTCCTTC